GGATATTACACATTAAAGATAAATTGAAGTAATGTAAGATAAACATAATAAATTATGGACGATATGATTAGGCGGTTTGTTGTATAGCAAATTTCGCGTGTGTTGTAACCATGCGTTTGAGTTCGGATCACGTGATTTAGATCCCCGATTTCTATATTTAAAAGTTTCTTACGATTAATTTTAATAAGTTTATTTATCTTAAAACGTGACGCCTTACTGAAGAAGAAAAAATTAAATTTGAAATTCAGAATGTGTTGTGATAATATGTCGTATCTTCTGCATTGTAGTGGGGAAATCAGTTGTTGGTTGGTTTTGCAAATTCTGGTGTTCAGATTCATCCAATCCTTTATTATCCTGGTAGTGTTAAATCCATATCTTCTAGATATTGACATGAAAAAACTCTCTTGGGAATAGACACCATTTTTTCGGTCGTAGGTGTAAATTTAAACATGATAAATCTCTTTAAGTTTGTTTTTAAACCCCCACACAGCACATATATTAAGATGGGCACCCCCCCAACCCCTGGTGAAATACAATCTGCGACGACTCTGTAGCTAAGAGAAAAACCGCACTGCAGGAATTCAAAAAGGACCCCTCTGCAGACAATTTACGCTCGAGTTATGAATTACTAAACGATCTAACAGAAGGCATAGCGTCAGGAGAGCCCCGCCCAACAGCGCTGTGCTTTATAGCCCAGTCACAGACGGCATACGACACGTCCACCGTCCTAACCAATTACACAATATATCTCACACCAGATGTAGCCTCACTCACTCATTCATTCATTCACTCGTTAGGACGACGGAGTGGATAATCCACACGACAAAAGACACACTAGCCATATAATAAAATAAAATATCATGTACCCCTGATGTAAAGAGAACAAAATGGCTAGGAGTCACCCCCCCCCCCCCCACTTAGGTGACGGCACAGCTGCTACAGTTAGACGTACATAAACCGACAAAAAACAAGCAGCAACGACACAAAGAGCGATACATGTAAATATAAAGACTTTATAACATGGCACATTCGCAAAGACTATCTTAAGCGCATTTTAACAAAAATTTGCTTAAGTTCGACTACGCTAAACCTCGCACGCAGTTGAGACCACACACAGGCATCGAAAGGCCCAACAAATCTTTCTCAAATAAGCTAAACTATATACAAAGAATGTAATTAAAACATGCATCGCACGCAAACGACCGTTAAGTACATCACAACAATTACGCTTTATTGTGAAGCAGGCTGCGCATAGCTTCGCACGCAGCCTAACCTAATCTAATCTTTTTTTTATTTTTTGATGACTCAGGAGAAATGCTCATGCATTCCCCTCAACCCGGGAAGGTTGAGAGGACATGTTGGACTCAGCGCCCTTGTTCCGGTGCTAACCACCGGGGGCGCCACTTACCAACTAAGACTCCTGGGGGTGTACTACCTCTGGGTTAAACAGGGGACGACTCGGAACCGCCAGAAAGGCATTACGTCGAGCCGCCCCCCAACCCCGCTAATCATGCCAAAGGGGGTGTATCAATAACATCCCTACCCTACCCCATTAAGCGGAGGGAAGCCTACACCTAGCTCCTACTCACGCGACGTCCAGGGCCGCGTGCAATGAAGGAGGGATTATTCCCGTAATCACCCCGTCACGGCCCTGGGCGGATAAAAGCCAGGTGCAATGCCCGTGGTCCTGGGCACAGTCCCACCCCATACTAAAAATAGAGAATGATCTCCCGGACGATCAAGGAGAGGACGTTTATTTAACGTCCATCTCCCCATCGTCCAGGAAATCATTGAGGATCTCCTCGACTGTACGCCGAGGAAAGACCTCGAGGGCATCCGACTCGGGGAAGGAACTAAGTGCTCCACCCCGATACGGACGACCTCCTCCCAGTCTCCTTAGAGAGACTCGCGGGGTCAACCCCGACGGGAGGGGGGCGGATTCCTCCTTCCCAATCCCGTCCGCTCCCTCGATGGCAGAGCGGGCGGCTTTCCGGGTGGTCGGCCCCCTCGCTGCAGTGCTCTGTTTGCTGGCAGGGCGGGCAGTCTGTCGCATTTTGACAGGCCCCCTCTTCGCTGAAGTGCCCTGTTCGTCCGGCTTGGTGACCTTCCCCAGGTTCTTCACTCCCTTGCCCATGACGGATTTCCTCCCACGCGTACGGGGAGGAAGGTCAGAGCCGGGGTCCGAAACGGCTTCCGAGGGACCGTTAGTCGATCCAGGAGGAGAACGCCCCTTGCCCTCACTGGGGGAGCACAGCTGCTCGACCCCAGACGGTGCTCCGCATCCCGTCCCAAATCCGAACAGAGCGGATATTTGGGACGAGGCGCAGAGCACGCCGCCGATAAGTGGCCCTCTTCGCCACACCTACTGACCTATAGCACTGCGAGCGCCAGTCGACACTCGCGGGGCACCTGGTCTCCACGTGGCCCCTGCTAAGCCAGTGGAAACATTGCAACGACCGAGGTGGTAGCACCTCGATCGTTGCACGCGCCCATCCCATTGTTATGGCTTTGGCCTTGGCCAAAGCCGCAGCCGCCGCCACCGGGCATCTCGCCCATAGCCAAAAGTTCCGCCCGGGCCACGACGGAGAGCGCCCAGGAGGATGTCCCCTCTATTGCACCCCCCCGCGGAGGAGAGCGCATCTTTAACATTGTCTGGGGATACGGAGTCGTCCAGACCCTTAACTCGCAGTTTCCTACGAGCCTCGGGACGGGCGACCCGCACCCCAGTGTCGCCAACAGCCTCTCGGATCTGTTGTCCAAGAAGGTCCGCCTTGGCGGACGCCTCGGGCCCAGCCGGGACCTCCATGAGGAGTCCTCCCGTGAGAGTCCTCATACAGCCTAACCTTTTTTTTTGTTCCGAGAGAGGGAAAAACGCATTTACGCGTACCGTCAGGCCGGTCCTGGACGGTTATGCCGGACTCACCGTGAAGCGGGAATACTTGGCTAAAAAACCCTGTCTTTAGGACCATCCTCCGCATTATAGGCGAACACCCCCGGTATCACCTATCGAAGGCATTCTTCAGGAAGTGTCTGCCCAACAATACTGAGCTTAGTAACTCCAGTCAAAGGCGGCCAACGAAACACGACCGCCGCCCCATGCGATCCCAGGCCCGCACCACGAGCGACCCGATTTCCGCGGGCCACCCACGGCGCGGACCACGGACCGCAGGGACAACGGTCGGTGGATAGTCCACGCGACAAAAGACACATCTAGCCAGTATAATCAAAAACCACATACATAATCCCCTTTGTTGAAAGAAAAAATGGCTAGGTTCCCCCCCCCCCCCATTAAGAAGAAACTTACCGCTAGTTACTACATGCTATTACGCTCTATGTACACCACACGCAACATAGTAGACGCAGGAACGCAGACCAATTTAAAAAGGGGGATGCGTCCCACGATACGACAAAAGGAGAGAGAACGCACCCCATAACGCCTTAAGAATATATGTATATACATGATAATACTAAAATAATACTATAAACTGCAGTCATACAGCCTTCTTTTTACGAGGTGGAAATCCCTTCGGATCCCCCACGCCTCCGGGGGGAGGGCGGGGGTATGCGGTGCACGTTAGCCGCTAAAACCACCCCGGTTGCCTTCTTCGCGCGCATATGTGGCCGGGTCCCGGGAACACGATGTATACTACCGTTGCCCGGCCGCGCTACTCTCCCCTGGTGTTCGGGGAGAGTCCTACCCTGCGGCCCACGATGGATGTGGGCCGCGGCGGAGTACAGGGCAACACCGTACTCCGCCCTTCCCTACGGGCCGATACTGGGGGAGTGGAGCGCCCCGCCTCCTAGAAGTTAGCCCCCCACTTTTCGAGTTTACCAATTTTGACAATTGTGCTGAATTGTGCTAGGTTTGTGCCATATTGTGCTAGAATATTAAACTCGAAATCCGAAAAATAGGGTAGAAAATTTAAAAAAACCGAATTTTGGGTCAGCCCCCCACTTTGCGATTTTTCCAATTTTTTTAATTGTGCTAGGTTGTGCTAAGTTGTGCTAGCATTGTGCCCAAGTTACTTTCAGATATTGATAATTGTAGAAGTTATAATAAAAAAATTATTTCGAGCAATTTTCGACAAAATTAACGTTTAAATGCCAACCAATGATTGAAATGTTACAAAACTGTATATCTGAGTTGTGCTAGCCCAGCACAAGTCAGCACAACTTTCAGATTCTCCGGCACAACGATATTAAGGGCACTTTACTCTTGAGCGCGGCCTTT